GCCCCCAGCTCAGCGTTGGCTGCCAAAGACTCCTGCTCAGGAGACTGACAATGGCCTGGAGATGGATCCTCCCTACAGGCAGCCTGCAGCCGATGACAGACAGTGGTGGGATGCCTTGAGTGGGATAACTCTGGTGTGACTTTGGCTCCAGAACCACCCCTGGGTCAGGTGAGGCTGAACTTGACCTGAGAGCAGAGCCTTGCTGGCTCCTTGCCCGACCTCTTCCGCTTCCCTTACCTTACAGTTTCCCTCTAAAGGACCCTCCCTGGGTGATACGTGTCTCCCAACCCCTGCCGCAGGCTCTGCTCCTGGAGAATTGACTTACTGAGACAAGTCCAGCCGAATAGAAGAACCTATCAGGAGCACAGTGTATGTGCTCCATTCTGGGCTGAACTGTGTCCCCTGACGTTCACATGTCAGAGGCCCGGTCCCATTGTGACTGCATTTGGAGATGGGGTCTTTAAGGAGTTAATGAAGGTTAAATGAGGTCTTAATAAGGATGTCCAATCCTACGTGACGAGTGTCTTTTTAAGAAGCTAAGGAGACTCCAGGGATGTACAACAGGGGAAAGACCCTATGAGGATACAGCAAGGAAGCAGCCATCGGCAAACCAAGGAGAGAGGCCTTAAGAGAAATGACTCCTACTTCGACCTTCCCCTTGGACTTCCAGCCTCCAGGACTGTGAGATGACAAAGTCAGCTGTTGAATCCCCCAGGTCTGTGACCTTCTGTTAAGGCAGCTGGAGCACAGGCTTGGTAGACTCCCTCAGCTAAACGAGGAGCTCAAGTTATTTCATACTACAGTAAACTAAGAACACATTTGAAAAGATTGGGGTAGAATAAGATGAGGAGAAAACAGTATTTTTGAGAACCTGCTGTTTTCCTGAAATGCTGAGTGGGATGCCTTTTGTTGGTGCTCGGTCAAGCTCCATCCTCCTTGGAGGAGTCCCATGGATTCCCACCCCAGGTCCTGCCCACACTCTCAGTGTGGGGGCTGGTGGAGCTCGGATCTCCATTCACTGTGGCTCCAGAGCTGGGTGCATGGTACAGGGATCACCCAACATCTTCCAAACGCCTCATCTGGTGTATGAGAAGGTTATTTGGGGGATTTCTGAACCTCAGCATATTAACACCCGAGGCTGGGGGATTCTGTGTTGTGAGGCTTCCTGTGCACTGAAGGGTGTTTCACAGCCTCCCTGGCCTCTGCTAGAGGCCAGCAGCACCCAGTTGTGACAAACAAAAAAGTCTCCAGACATTGTCAAAGTCCCCGCATGGTGTGCATTGTCCCCTGGTTGAGAACCCTGAAGACATGCACCCTAACTCAGGACATTCTCCCTGGGACCTTCACTGTAACTGTTGGAAGGGGCAGTTTCTCCATGCTGGGCCTCTGTGACCCTCTATGGGAGTAAGGGCCTGGGGATGAAGCAACCTGGAGGATGACAGCTGGGACATGGGGGAAAGAGATAGATTTGATTATTTTATGACATCACATAAAACCATAACTGGATTCAACCAAATTATGTTTCAGTTATCTGAGCCAATTAATTCCCTTTCAGCCTTCAACCAACTTGATTTGCATTCCTGCCACAGGCATTCCAAAAGCTCTTGAATGGCATGAGATACCCTGTAAATTTGCTCTCATACGCCCACCGTGGCTGTTCCCTCAGGAAATCCTCCCAACACTGGATTTGCTTATCTGTACTTTACAGATTTAAAAACTAAGAGCCAGCCAGCTGCCTTTTCCTGTGTCTCCATTACCCCACTGTAGCGCTGCCCAGGATCATGGTGACTTGCATCACCAATCACTCAGGGTCTTGGACACCTCTACCCAAGCATCAGCCCTCAGCCACAGCTGTGTCTTTCCTGATTACAAAGGCCAAATGCCAAAATGGTGTATTATGGTTTGGATATGAGGTGTCCCACAAAGCTCCTCTTAATGCAGGAATTTTCAAAGGTAAACTATTAGATGATGAGAGCTAGAACCTAATGGGTCCATCTTAGTTGGAATGGATTGACTGAGTGGTAACTGTAGGAAGGAGGCTGTGGCTAGAAGAGGTGGGTCACTGGGGACATGTGCTGGAAGTGTACCTCTTCCCTGTGTCCCTTTTCCTTTCTCTCCCCTCCCCTCCCATCTCCTCCTCTCTCCTCTCCTCCCCTCTTATCTCTCTCTCTCCCCTCCCCTCCCCATCCCTCTGTTTCCTGACCCCACCATGAGTTGGGAAGTTTTCTTCTGCTGGGCCCATCCCCCAATGTGCTGCCTTAACTTGGGCCTAAAGCAATAGGGTTGGCCGTCTGTGGACGGAGACCTCTGAAGCTGTGAGCCCCAGATAGACCTTTCCTCCCTGAAGATGCTCCTGTCAGGTATTGGTCACAGTCACAAAAAAACTAAAATAGGAATTGGTACTGAGACATGGGGTTGTTGCTGGGTCTGACCTGACCCTGTAGCTCAGAAGACTGGAAATGGTTTGCAGGAGGAATTTTGAAGCGTTTGGAGATGAGGTTATAAACTTTACAGTGCTGTAATCAGAACTGAATGGGAAAATCTGGTGGGAACTCAGGTCAGAATTCAGACAGAAGTGCAGACTGTGCCCCTGAAGTTTCAGAGGGAAATGAAGACTTTATTGGGAATCGGACTAGAGGCCACTGGTGTTATATTGTGGCAAAGCACTGGCTGCATTTCATCCATGTCCTGAAGCTTTGTGAAAAGCTGGATTTACAACTGATGGAGGAGGCAATCTGGTGGAAGAAATGTCAAGGCAGCACAGCATTCAGTCTTTGGCATGGATATTGCTGGCAACTTTTATCCAGATTTGTTATGAGAATCAAGAGCATAAAGAAGAGTAAAGGATATTAAAACTTTGTGGTTTGGCCAGAAAAGTGCTTTCCAGCCACCGTGAACAGAGTGCTGCTCCTTCACCCACACCTTGGGCCCAGAGTGATGGAACCAGCCTACCATGGACTGAACCTCTGAAATCATGATCCAAGGTGGACTTTTCCTCTAAGTTTGGTCACAGTGGCAAAAATCTAACACAGCCTCACAGTCCACGGAGCCTGGGGAGGAGGTGACTCCATCTAACTAAGATAGACAGGAGGGTGTGAACAGGGTCTAGCTTTGGGCCAAGGGCTTCATGAAAGAACCTCAGGCTTAGTGACAGCACCCGAGAGCCTCTGACCATGGGCGCTAGTCTGGGTGCTGGTCAGGCACTGATCAATTGCCCACCACCATGGACTTTACAATACCATTGCCAAGCTGGGTGTGGTGGTGCACGCCTGTAATCCCAGAGGCTCAGGAGGCTGAGGAAGGAGGATTTCAAGTTCAAAGCCAGCCTCAGCAACTTAGAGACCCCCTGTATCGAAATAATATATTTTTTAATAAAGGGCTGGGGTTGTAACTCAGTGACTGAGCACCCCTGGGTTCAATCCTAGGGAAAGAAAGAAAAAAAGAAAGAAAGAAAGAAAGGAAGGAAGGAAGGAAGGAAGGAAGGAAGGAAGGAAGGAAGGAAGGAAGGAAGGAAGGAAGGAAGGAAGACCACTGCCAACAGGACTTTAATTTAGAGCTCCTTCCCCTAGGGGAAAGATCGGGGTGCTGAGGAATTGTGCTTAGTCCCAGTGCAACCTCAGCCGTGTGTGAGCCAGCTAGCCTTGGGCAGATGCCCTCACTGAGGGTGCATGTGTACCTGGAGCACTGAAGGACCTCAGAAAATGGCACTCTGTTAGGTAACAGCTGTACTTCCTGGTGCTGAGTCCCCATTAGTTACTGCTCTGGAAGTGACCTTGGGGCTGAGGAAACTGTCAGCACTTACTGGGTCCCACAGACCTTCATGAGCCACCAAGCCGTCCCTGGAGCCTCATTGCTCTAACTTGCTCCCGGGTGGGATGTAGGTGAGGCAGAATGTAAAGGAAGAGGTGGGACCCTTCTCAGCACCATCTCTGCAGCCCTGGGTCTGGGGGATGTCCTGGGGTATGATGAACCTCCTCTGCACTTCAAGTCAATGCAGGATGGAGCCTTGTTGGGCACCTCTATGAAGGATGCCATGTTGACAGTGAAGAAGATGGTAAATAACAGCAGCTTCCATTTATTAAGCTACTACTAACGACTTTCTCTCTGTGTTCATTTTCCCTAGCACTCATAACATTCTCACAGGTGGGGACTATCATTCCCTTTTTACAGATGAGAAAACTGAAGTCCAAATAAATTAAATGAGTTGACCAAGACCCCCAGCGAGTAAGTAGAAGACACAAGATTCAAGGTCAGACATGAACATTCAAGAGACTCTCTGCTTCCAGGCACACCTCAGTAGTTCCCAGAAGGCTGTTGCTAGGGGCAATGGTACAGAGAAAGCATCGATTTGGGGTGTTTATTGGACCATCCTTCTCTGAGAGATGCCTCACGTCAAATGGAAGTGAGCTCACCAGGTAAAACAGATCTAATTGGAGAGGGCCTGGGTGGGAAATGTCCACAGGGAGCTTTTGATACTCACTGCAGCCTTATTTATAATGCAAATGATTCAAAATAGCCTGAATGCTTATCAACTAGAGAGTGATTAAATAAACATAACAGAAGACAATCACTTTAAAACAGATCTCTATGTGCTTTTGTAGAACAACCGCTAAGGCTCCCTGTGGGCTGCTCTCCATCTGCCCCCACATCCAGATCCACCCTCCCTGCCTCCTGACTCTGCACCCTGGGAGCTGGCCCTCCTTGATGGCTCAAGGTAGGCGGGGAGCGAGGTCAAGGCGTTTCTTTCTGCTCCCCCCCACTCGGGCTCTATGGCTCTGCCACAGCCCAGCACCTCCACAACTCAGCCCTGCTGTCCGCCCAGGCGTCCCCGGCTCCAGTTTCCCCTGGGCCCTTGTGCCCCATTTCCTCCTCTTAGCCCTTCCCATCTCTCCAGCTGAACTGTCGGAGTGGAGTTCTGTGTCTGCTGAGATCGGACCGTGGTGCGGATGTATTAAGATCATTATGAAGCCTCCCCCCAACACAGACAGTCCTCTACTGACCTCCCAAGAAACTTTCCGATCTTCTTCGCTATTAGTGTCCCCACCAATCCACCGATGGCGAATATGGACACGGTCACAGACCAGAGCAGAGTCAGAGTATCCGGGTCTATTGGATGTCCATGCCTTCTTTCCCATGATTCATTGTAAAAGGCCTTGATATACTGGAAATGAACAACAAGCCATGTTATTTCCTTCTGTTCCATCCTGTGCTTGAAGCCAGCCGGCACACACACAAAAGAGCTTATGCAGAGCAATTCCTTCACGTTGAACACTTTGCTAAATGCTGTGTGAGCACTGGACTCTTCTAACAAAGAAAGGGAATGGATCCTAAGTTTACCACATTTTGTAGACAGAGAAACTGAGGCTCAGACAGACCAAGTCACTTGCTCAGTAAATATTAAACCTGAGAGTCAAAAAGCAAATCTAATTTAATGCAATTCCTATTAAAATCCCAATGACATTCTTCATAGAGTTAGAAAAAGCAATCATGATATTCATTTGGAAAAATAAGAGACCCAGAATAGCCAAAGCAATCCTTAGCAAGAAAAGTGAAGCAGTAGGAATCACAATACGAGAACTGCAGAGCTACAGTAACAAAAACGGCATGGTATTAGCACCAAACAGACATATAGACCAATGGTACAGAACAAACCACATAAACACAGTTATCTCATATTAGACAAAAACATTGGAGAAAAGATAGCCTCTTCAACAAATGGTTCTGGGAAAATTGGAAATACATGTGTAACAAAATGAAATTAAACCCTATCTCTCACCATGCACGAAACTCAACTCAAAGTGGATCAAAGACTCAGGCACTAGAACAGAGACCCTGCACTAATAGAAGAAATAATAGGCCCAAATCTTCACCATGTTGGCCTAGGAACTGACTTCCTTAACAAGACTCCTAAAGCACAAGAAATAAAATCAAGTATCAATAAATGGGATGGAATCAAACTACAAAGCTTCTTCACAGTAAAGGAAACTATCAAAAATGTGAAGAAAGAACCTACAGAATGGGAGAGAATCTTTACCACACGCACCTCACATATAGCACTAATCTCCAGGATATATAAATAACTCAAAAAACTTAATCTCCCAAAACCAAATAACCTAATAAATAATTGGGCAAAGGAATTAATCAGAATCTTCACAGAGGAAGAAATACAATCAATCAACAAATATATGAAAAAATGTTCAACATCTCTAGCAATTAGAGAAATGCAAATCAAAACGACTCTAAGATTTCATCTCACTCCAGTCAGAATGGCAGTTATTAAGAATATAAGCAACATTAAGTGTTGGTGAGGATGTGGGGGAAAGGCACACTCGTACATTGCTGGTGGGACTGCAAATTGATGCAACCAATCTGGAAAGCGGTATGGAGATTTCTCAGAAAACTTGGAATGGAACCATCATGACCCAGTTATCCCACTCCCAAGTGTCTAGGAATTCACAGGCAACCCGCCTGCCACCTGACTGTTCCTCACATGTATAAAAGGTCATTCCTGGGGGTGACCTTGGTCCCTACTGCAGTGCTGCACCCATTGATCACAGCTCTCCTGCAAGGAGTCTGGCCAAGACAGGCTCCACAGAGCCTCTGACTGCCTTGCTTACAGCAGTGACCAGTCTCCTGGAATTAAAGTGAGGAAACTAAAAGATGCCGTTTTGTGGGAAATTTTTCTGTGGAGTAGAAGCTTCCACAGAAAGCTGGAAGACTTGCAGCACAGCCTGTGCCCCCTGCACACGTTTCTCCAAAGTTCCCTGAAAGCTGGTTTCAAGTGCTGCCTTTGGTGATTAAATGTTTGTCTTCCAGCTGAAAAGCTTGCAATGGCCCCGATGACAGGTGCTGGGTGATGAGGGACCCAGGCGATAGGGGCTGTTCTGCTAATTAATTGCTCAAACCATTATTAAGATTCATGACATAAATATCTGTGAACACACGACTGGTAGTGGTATGGAGCAGATGCTTACGTTCGTGTTTGTGTTTTAAACTGAGTTTCCACTGTGTCAGTAATGCTCATATAAAATAAAATCATAAAAATAAATAAAAGCAGGCTGGGCTGTAACACAATGAATAGATAATAATAATAATAATAATAATAATAAACAACCAGGTGCCCCATTCATCATATTTCAACTTGCTGAGTGCTATTCACGCATCAACCAACCCATTTCCCCCTCCAAGACCCTGTGAGAGGGCGCCATCTTTGTAGCTCTCTTCTGGGCAGGTGAGGAATGGGAGAGAGAGATGTAAAGTCTTTCCCAGGCTCACACTGTTGCTGTGTGGTGTAGCAGGTCAGGGCTCAAGTCCAGGCAGGTGGACTCCAGACCCAGTCTTAGCCACTGCTTTATCCTAACTCTTAACCTGCAAAATACAAAGACTGGACAGGAGGAGAAGGGTAGGGATGGGATGGAAGGGGAGGCATGGGGCTGGTGGGCTGCTAGGCACGTGGCAGGCACCTGCACGCCTCACTGCCCTTCACCCTGCAGCCGTGCTGAGAGGCTCCATAAGGAGCGGAGACCTGGAGCTGAGAAGCAGCCTCAGCCACGGGGAATCCATTGGAATGGTAAAGCCTGCCAGGCCTCTCCGCGCCTGCGCTCTCCCCTCCCTGGTCACAGGGCCAGCCACACTGCCCAGTGCCTTGCATCTAGGTGGGCCACAGGACAACTGGCCCAGAGTGGGCAGAGGTGATGCGTGTCACCTTACCCAGGCACTAGGAGTGGGATGCTGTCCAGGCTCATTCCTTCCTTGTCAGCTGGCCATTCTGGAAGGAGCCAGCAGAGGGCTCCAAAGCCCTAGAGGAGAACCACTCCATTGACAGGCCTGAGGCCCCGAATGGCTTCCCGGAAGAGGTGCCCCTGCACACTGTTTCACATAGTGACACAAATGAGAAAATAACTTTCATTGTGTGAAGCCACTGAAGCTCAGGCTTATCTGTTACAGCAGCTGGTTTTCCTGAACACAATCAACCCAATGTCAAAGCCCAGCACATGCACTGTGGTGCGAGGCTTCTAGAAGGAGGGAATGAACCAGACATGGTGTTTCACACCTGTAATTCCAGCTACTCAGGAGATCACAAGTACAAGGCCAGCCTGGGCAACTTAGCAAGACCCTGTCTCAAAATTAAAAAGGGCTGAGGATGCAGCTCAGCAGTGGGCTGTTTGCCTAGCACGTGCAAGGTCCTGGCGGGAAAAAGAAGAGGATGGGCAGGCCTGGGATATGGGCCCATACCTAGAGTTTTCCTTGTATGTTTTGGGAGAATTTGTTAGATTTCATTCGAAGAAAGCACTCGCAATAAAAGAGTCTCCACATCACTGTGACGTGAGCACCTCTAGGCCTCCTTGGAGAGGCCATTCTTTTTTTTTTTTTAATTTATTTGTTCTAATCAGTTATACATGACAGCAGAATGTTCTACGATTCATTGTACACAAATGGAGCACAATTTTTGACTCCTCTGGTTATACCCAAAGTAGGGTGACACCATTCATGCAATCACACATGTACCAAGGGTCATGATGTCCGTCTCATTCCACCATCTTTCCTACCGCCGTGCCCTGCCCCATTCAAAGTTCCTCCACTCATCCCATGCTCTCCACCCCACTATGGATTAGCATCCACTTATCAGAGAAAACATTCAGCCTTTGGTTTTTGTGGATTGGCTTACTTCACTTAGCATGATATTCTCCACCTGTTTATCTGCAAATGCCATAATGTTATTCTTTTTTATTGCTGAGTGATATTCCATTGTGTTTATATACCACAGAGAAATGCAAATCAAAACTACTCTAAGGTTTCATCTCCAGTCAGAATGGCAGTTATCAAGAATACAAACAACAATAAGTGTTTGCAAGGATGTGGGGAAAGGTACACTCATACATTGCTGGTGGGACTGCAAATTGGTGCAATCACTATGGAAAGCAGTATGGAGATTCCTCTGAAAACTTGTAATGAAACCACCATTTGACCCAGCTATCCAATCCTCGGTCTATACCCAAAGGACTTAAAGACGGTGTACTATAGTAACGCAGCCACATCAAGGCTTATAGCAGCTCAATTCACAATGGCTAAACTGTGGAACTAACCTAGATGCCCTTCAGTGGATGAATGATAAAGAAACCAAGAGGCCCATTCTATGTCTGTCTCTACGAATCTGCCTCCTTCCCACGAGGGTGCATCCTGTCTTCTAGACACAAGTCCCAGCCCCGTATGTGTGTGAACTCAACACAGTGGGACTGCTCTGACAGCAGGAAGCCAGGAGAGGCCATGGAACCAGATGGGGTGGGCAGTGAGGGCCGGCGGGGCGGCTCAGGCTGGACCTTTCAGGCAGAGGGCCCAGGATTCTCGAGGAGCAGAAGCTGGGGAGCATGAGCCGACGAGAGAAGCTTAAGTGGCCAGTGGGGTTGGGGGTGGCTCGGCATCAGGGAAGGCTGGAGAAGGAGGCAGGGGCTGGGCATCCTGGCTCCGTCTGCCCGCCGAGGAACACACACTTACCCCTGCGGGCGCCAGGGAGCATGGGATCAATGCTCTAATTTGTTCCAGAGTGTTCATCGCAGGTGTGGAGTGAAGGCCATTTTAGAGTTTAGAGTGGATGAGGCCAGGCTGGTGAGGAGGCTGCAGCACTTGGTTTGAGATCATGAGGCTGGTGGAGATTTCTTATGAATTCATCAAGGAGTGTTTGTATTAGGACGAGAACTAACCAGAGCCCACACCACAAGGAAAGGGAAAAGAGGCCACGTGATATAAGAAAAGGAGGCTGAAGGAAGAGCCCTGGGTTTAAGACTTGCTTGTTTCCCTGTGTCCGTCTCTGACCTTCAGCAACCTTCCTCAAGGTGCTCCTTCTCTTTGGGCAGTGTCCCAGTGGCTGGGAACCTGGCATGGCTTTATTCCACGCTTGTCCTTGCCCCTTCTCTGCTGGGGGACTGAGCTAGTTACTTAACCTCTCTGTGCCTCAGGACCCTTGTTTGTGAGGTTACTGCCCCTCTCAAATGGACTATTGTGAGGGTCTTTGTGAGAAATATAATGCAGAGCTCTGGGTCCACGTGCAATGGAAGACAGAAATGGGGGTGTCCCTGTCATTATCTCTGTAGTTGTAAACTGAAGGTCGAGGCACATTTACTTCTCAGGTCCAATAATCTGTGAGTAATCTACCAGCATCTCCCAGCCTGAGAACGTCGGGGCTGGGCTTCTGGTAAGAAACTGAACTGTGCGTGCGATTCCATCTTCCAAATAACCGTGGCAATCACCAGACTGTGGGAGGGAAATCGCTGGGCCGCCTATCTCACGGTATTAATCTTCTTGACTGATTCACAAAGAGATGCCACGCCTTCCAGGGGTGCCATAAAAACACACATAATTATAGCACAGTTGGTGGGTGGTCTGGGCACCCCCGTGCTGCAGAGCAGAGCACGTCACGCCCTGGAGCCCACAGGGTTTGTAAAGACGGTCTGCACCGGTGACCCCACTGCTCCCTGAGAACAATGCCAAAGTCCTTACAAAAGTTCTGGCCACCAAACCACAAAATCCTGGCAGTGCCACCTAATGTCATCTGGCTCCCCACACCAAGTCTTCCATGCAGACAGCAGTTCTCACAGCTGCCCTGAGACTGCTCTCCGCAGAAAGGCCTGCTGGCAAGTGGCCCTGGGCTAGGGTCGGGGACTGGGACACAGGAGGGTTGTCACACGTGGCTCGTGGTGCCTAGTCTGCAGGCAGTGTGGTCAGTGCTGTTCCCTGAAGTCTGTACCTGCTTCCCTCTGGAGTTGGGGAGTTTTTACCTGCTGAGCTGAGGGGGTCCATGTGATCAGCCCCTGACACAAACTCTGGAGCCTCCTGGTAGCCGATGCTGCAGGAGCTGCGGTGACTCCCTGCTGGGGACGCAGTGCTCCCCCACTAGAGAGGGCTCCTGCAGGCCTGTGCCGGCCCCCGCGCCTTTCCCTCTGCTGGTTTTGCCTTGTGTCCCTCACTGTGATGAATCCTGGCCCTGAGGGTCACTATATTGCCCTGACCCATCATTAGCATGCAGGTGGTGTCCCCCTGCCCCACCCCTTCTGCATGTCCTCTGGACCACAGGAAGAGAAGGCAGGTGTTTTCATTGCCAGACAGGCTGCTCCTGGCTGGACAGGCCACCTGGAGTCCATGGTGGCTTTCAAAAGGCACCGGATCCATTACAAGCTCAGATTGGTGGTTTAGAGCAGATTCTAGAATAACTCATTTGTAAATAAGAATAAGACCCCAAGCTTCGAGATGGAGCCGCTAGAAGGATGGGGTGGGTGAAGTCCCCAGCAGGGTGCCGGCCCTAGTGGGTGCTCCTAGGTCTGGCTCCCTGGTCAGCAGGCGGCCTGGTTGCATCTGTGCGCTGTCCCTCTCCAGCACCTCCCTCCAAGTGTGTTTGTGTGCTTGCTTCAGCACTGGGGGTGGAGCCTGGGGGTGCTTTACCACTGAGCCACATTCTCAGCCCTTTTTCATTTTTTAACTTAAGACTAGAGTCTTGCTAAGTTGCTCTGGCTGGCCTCAAGGTCACTATCTTCCCACCGAAGGTCCCAAGTCACTAAGATCACAGGTGTACACCTCCAAGTTCCCCCCCCCACCTTGCTGGGTCAGCTGTCCCCAGCTCTGACTGCAGTGACCACTGCCCTACCCCACCAAGCCTTGATAGGCCCGAGGACCTTCCCCTGCTAGGCCAGAAAAAGTGGCATTTTTTTTCCCCAGAGAAACAATGAAATGAGAAAAGTCTGAAGCAAAAATGCAGGCTGCCTGGCTCTAATAAGCTGTGGCCTCCAGGGGATGGAGCAGGCTGGCGGGCAGGCAGCCCCTGGAACACCCCAACACCAGCGGCAGGCCTGAGAAGGGCCGGCCTCCCGTCAGCCAGGGGCTCCATCTGCTCTGCTGAAAACCAACCAAGCCACGAACCACAGCTCCCAACTTAAACAATGCAGCAGCCTCTTCTATTAGAGAAAAATGAGAAGCGACCTAGGAGGCCTGCGTTAGGCAGAGAGGCCACCAGTGTGACACGGCACTAGGCTATTAGACACTGTGGTGATGCAGGAATTCCAGCAATGTGGAGAGATGCCCAGAAACTATATAAAACAGCAAATGTGCAGGACCTTCCAAAAGTTAGGATTTCAAGGAAGGATTTCAAGGCCCCGGCGGCCCTGGGAGGAGCCCCAGTTTGCACTATGCTCAGACCCAAGTCTGCCCCCAGCCTCACAGCTTAGGGCAAACTACTCGGTCTCCCCACTATTTGTAAAATGGGGTTGTTTTCACAATGTCTGTCCCACGTGGTTGGTAGACAAATGAGAGATAGCCCCTGACTCACAGGACGTGATTCATGCCAATAGTTCCTATAATAAGTGTCAGCGTTGGAGTTGTTTTCTTTTCCTGATAGAAGCCTGTTGCGTTGACGACACTGAGAGCAGGCCATGCAAAACCAAGAGGGAGAAAGAATGAGGCAATGAAGGAAAGAGTCTCTGCATTGCAGGTAGGACCCGCTCATTGTCGTGATGGTCCGCTGGTCTGGCCTCTCTCTCACCAAGTAAGTCCAACCACCCAGCCTCCACTGACCAGAGCCCTGAGGTCACCACCTAAGATCACCATCCCCTCCCACTAGCCTTGAGAATAGGCCTCCAGCCACACAGGTACCCGCTGCGGGCTCCTGATCTGAGAGCTGCTGGGCCTTGCCAACAGAGCTAGCCCCAAACCCCAGGGCTCACTTGGCTTCGCTGTCTGTTGGTTCATTTGAATCTTTTCTTGGCCCAGCTTCCCACATCTGCAGCTAATCAGGCAGCTCTGCTTGAGTAGAGAGAGCTGTTGGTTTTACTCTTCACTATCATTTGCTTATCTGTCCTCAGGGAAGCAGCAGGGGAGAGGAAGGTGATAGAACAGACCATTTCTTCTGGGAAACTGATGGGGAGCCCAACTGATGGCACCGCGGAAGCCCTGGGCCTTTTTTGCTAACACCAGGGAGCCAAGATTCTGAGGCTTCTCTCAAGACACGGCATTTCCAACTCAGAAACCACTGGAAATGTGAGGGATTCACGATAAAGCCAAACCATTCACTATTATTTTTGTGGTTCTGATATTTTTCTCCAAATAAATCCTAATTTAAGTGGGTACAACAAGGGCCACACATTAGACCCCCCAAAAACTTTACTCTCATTTATTCCTTTTACTCAGGCCTTCCTTCTCTCATTCACTGAGGCATTTAACAGACATTTTAAGTGTTTTTCTGTTTAACATGCACATTTGTAGGATGTACATTGTAAAACAATAAGCAGCTGTATAGTTGTTTAGGAAAGAACTTGAGTGGGCTTGGTCCCTGGACCTTGGGAGGTGTTTCACTCAGCTTTTTCTCTGTTGTGACTAAAACACCCACCACCACCACTGTAGGAGAGGAGAAATTTAGTTGGAGGCTCAGGGTTTCAGAGGTCTCAGTCCATAGAAGGCCATCTCCGTTCCTTGGGGATCCAGGTGAGGCAGAACATCCTGGTGGGAGAGTGTGGCAGAGGGAAGCAGCTCACATGGTGAGCAGAGAGCAGAGAGACTCCACTCTCCAGATACAAAATACCTACCCATAGCCACGCCCCCAATGCCCACCTCCGCCAGCCACACCCCGCCTGCCTTCAGCCACCACTCAGTTAATCCCATCAGGGATCCATTGATTAGTTTAAGGCTGATGATTATAGTCCAATCAATTCTCCTCCAACCTTCTTGCGTTGTCTCACACGTGAGCTTTTGGGGGACACCTCACATCCAGACCATAACAGGAAGTAGCCTCTAAGTCCTTAGGATTTCTCCCCTTTCTTTTCTTGTGTGTGTGTTTGTGTGTGTGTGTGTGTGCGCGCATGAGTGTGCACGTGTGTGTGCATGTGTGTTGCTGGGGCACTCTACCACTGTAGTACATCCCCAGCCCTTTTATGAATTTTTAAATTTTGAAATGGCATCTTGTTAAATTTCTGAGGCTGGTCTCCAACTGCAGTCCTCCTACCTTAGCCTCCTAAGTGGCTAGGATTACACACACCCCTGAGACTTCTTAAATCCTGGTCTTTAGTATCCAAAGTATCAGACTAGTGTATGCAAAAAGAGAACTCAGGGTAGGGACTGGCTAATTCTAAAAAGAGTAAGCCTGTGATGGAGGGTTGGGGCTTTGAGCCTCATGCTATTGGGGAGGACAGAGACTGGAGACTGAGTTAGCCAATGATCAGATCCATCAGCATTATAAAAGGAAGCCCCAATGGCTTGGGTGGCGCCCTAGCAGGTGGCACTCTGGGCACGGAGTTCCACTGCTGTGGGGGTGCCTGACTCTCTGGGAGAGAACACTAGAAGCTTCGTACCTTCTTAACCCCACTGGATGTATCTCTTCTTTGGACTCATTTTGATTTCCATCCTTTTTGGTATAATGAAACCATAATTTCAAGTAGAGCACTTTCCTGAGATCGGTGAATTATTTTAGCATGTTATCAAGCCCAAGGGTGGCGGACCCAGATGTTCAGACGTGGGTGGCCTGGGAACCCCCAAGCTTGGGTCTGGCATCTGAAGTGAGGGCGGTTGGTGACTGTGAAGTCTGCCTGTGTCTGAGTGGCTGGTGTCAGAAGTCACTGTGAACCTCTGGGGCACCTGCTTTTTGTAAGACACCTGGTCTGGAAGGCCCTGGGGGTCCTGTCTGCTGTGTGTCTGCCGAGCCTCCAAGCCTCCCCCAGCCTCCTGGGCAAGCAGGCCCCAGGAGTCTGCCCTCTCTCCTTGAAGGCGTTGCTCGCCCTTCCCACCTCCCTCTGTCCTGGGCTGCACATCCCAGGCCTGCTTTCCAAGCCCCTTCCGCTCACCCTCTGTCCTCCTTGTGGCCCTCCTCACGTCCACCCCAGTGCCCATCCTGCCTGGGCGGCTGTTCCCGGGCTCATTGCCCTGTAGCCTCCTCCCACAGCACAGGAAGCTCGGCATCAGCAGGCCCCCACTCCCCGCCAGAGGCTCTCACGCGTGGCCCACTCTTGAGCCCCATCCTGCTGGGCCTTTGTCGGGCCCCTTTGTCTTGGAACTTGGGCTCCATGTTGTCCACCCTGGCTTGGAGCTTGCATTTCTTTAGGATGTTGCTTCCAGAGCCTTCCTGTAGGCTCTCTGGATGACACTCATGCACAAGAGGCGCTATGATCCATCCCCTGCCCAGACTTGATCTCCCCGCCCAGCCCTGCCTGGGCCTCCAGAGAGCAGCCCCTGGGGCTCAGAAACCCCGCCACAGCCTTCTTGTCTGCCTGGCTCTCACCAGCTGGCTCACAGGTGGGTGCAGACACCAGGCCCACAGTACCATCCAGACACCTCCCACTACAACTCTGCAGTCCCAGATCTTCTGGCAGTACTAATGAAGCAGGTTCTGGAAGAGCCACATTCTCCTAGTAAAGGTCAAAACTTAAATGACATAAATCTGAGACCATGCGCCAGGTTCCAGACTAGCATCCTCAGTCCGCTTGCTCGGCTGCTTGAAAATCCAGGCAGGTATCCTACGCATCTGACTTGTGTGCAAACTGGCCTTGGACTGAACCCAGGGTCTTGTGGTTGCTAGGTAAATGCTCTACCAGTGAGCTGTATCTCCCAGCTCTTGTCCAGTCTCTTACAAGGCCCTCAGAATGCTTTAGATACATATGTAGATAGGTGGATGGATGAAGGATAGATTGACAGGTAGATGATAGAGATGATGGCTAGCTAAGTAGCTTGTTATGCCAATTAGAATTAGACACTGGAAACTGAAAAAACAAAAACCCGGATGATCGGCAATTAATGCATACAATGGCTGCAGGAAGATCTATCCCCCATGTTAGATGACACAGAGCATAGGCCTCGGAAGAACTGTGCATCCAGCTAGCCTGCCTTCTGCCCAGAGGTCTAGTGATGGCAGGTGCCCTGCCTTTCCTAGAACCCCAAGCGCAGGGATCAGACAATCCTTCCCCGCTACCACCTGCCTTTGTGCATGGCTTTATTGGCACACAGCCTCCCCCGGCCCCAAGTTTTTAGGTTGTCTAGGTCTGCTTTTTCAGTACACAGGTACAGTTGAATAGTTGCAAAAAGACCATATGATTTTGCAAAACTTAAAATATTAATGGTCTGGAGGGCGGCAACCAGTAACAGCAGAGGGCCATGTGCATGGAGCAAAAGGAGTTGGGGGAGTACAGGGTGATGAGAACCCAGAGGTGACTAGGAGCAAACCCAGCCCTGCGGGCCACAGCAGTGTGGATTGTTTTCTGGGTGTGATGGGCAGCCGCGGATCCTGAGCAGAGGCTCAATATGATCCACCTCAACTTGTCCAAGGTGCCTCTCTGGCTTCAGTGCAGAATGAACTGCAGGAGTCGGGGTGGAGTCGGGGAAGGTTAGAAGACCCCAGGGTGTGCCAGGCTACAGATGGGCCTGCAGGAGGGGAGCAGCTGGGTTCAATCAAAGCGATCAACTCCTCCCCCTGCACAGAAGCCCAGCTTTCAACAGCCAAAGACAACGAAAATTTCCTGAAGGTTTATGTCCTGTTCCTGCACCATCAGAGGGAAGAGAACTGAACACCCACGGGGTCCTCTGAGGACAGGCCACACACAGGGCTCGTGCACACTCAGTTCACATCCAGTGGGACCAAAGTGGTCCAGATGCTTGTGGATGCACAAGACACCCGATATTCTCTCCAAAGGGGTCCCATACAGTTAGATTCTGGGGATTCTTTGAAAGCCAGGTGGGCAGGATGCAGTTCACGTAGGGTGACTGTACTGAGGAGGAAATGGGCCAGCCTCGGAGCTTGGCCACGTTAACCTCCCCTGCTTCAGTGCCCTCTTCCACACAGGGGGATTAGCTGTGGCTCCCCAGGACTGTAACTGGGAAGGAGGGTGTGAATGTGGGTATAATGGCACAGATAGCGAGACACTGCCTGCCTGGGGCGAGCAGCCAGCAGCTGGAGCCCCCTGCCCATGCTCTGTACCACAGCTATCCATAGCAGAGGCTGGCCCAGCAGGGGCCTGAGGAGCCTGTGCCTGTGCTAATGCCAGGGTTGTGTCCATGTGGCATCTTGGTTCTAACAGCGACCCCTGGTGGCGACCATAGCCCTAATATCCACACCTCTCTGTCCCAGGCCTTCCTTTGCTCTCCTGAGAACCCAATGCCCCATGCGCTGCCTGGCTCTGTCCTCTGGCCTGCGTTGGGCTCCATTTCTCAGAGTCCCTGTTCCATCCCTGACCCCCTGCCTCTAGGGCAGCCTTGCTCCCCAGCCTTCTGCCTACCGCAGGGAAAGAGGATCAGAGTGCCTGCTGGACACCTAGCTGAGCTGCTCCAGCATCACGTCTGCTTTCCTTCTCACAACTAGTTCACTAGAGTGCGCACCACCACTCTGCACAGGCAGCTCAGGGGTGGAGCCTGGATTCCTGTGCAGACCTGCCGGCTCCGGCTGTGGGTGGTTCTGCCCTGGGAGGGCACCGGGGTGAGTCTGGCCCTCAGCCTGCCTTCTCCACCTCTGTGCTCACAGCCCAGGCATCCTGGATCCTGCCCCAGGCCTGGCCCTTGCAACCCTTCTCCAGCTGGCACCGGCCCTCTTTCCTGCCTCCCCCCCAGCACACAGCCACTCCCAGGTCTTCACCATGCCCAGAAAGCCCCAACGAGGCCCCCAGACTCCCCGGTAGGATGAAGCCCTTCCACAGGCCCCTGCAGCCCGCCTCTCACTGTGGGGTGAACCCTGGAGTGTCTGTTCTGTCCCTGCTGCTGCTGCTGGGGCCCCTGGGGGATGTCCTGTTCACCTCCCTAACAAGCACCTGACCACATGATAGAACAAAATGCCCAGTGAAGGCTGCCTGCCCCATGGAGCCTGCCCCATGAAACATTGAGAAACCCGGGACGTTGGGGCCTGACAGAGAAAGGGGCTACAATGACCCACGCCTCCATGGGAAGGCAAGACTTGGGGAGCTGGTCAGCTAACAATAAAGCTACCTTTCATTTTTCTGTTGGATCATGCACTTTACAGGAACGGCTCCTTGCAATGAGGGAGGATCAGGTGGGATTCTGACAATCTAGGTCCCTGTTGTAATGCCACTGAGCATCATCGGAACTCGCCCTTGACCCTGGCGTTGCTGTGGGGAGAACCCAGCACAGTCACTGGGGTGGTGGGCATGGCAGGAAATAGCCCACTCAGTGCACTGTAGCCCCTCTCACCTCCCCTGGCTGATTCCTTGCCTTAGTTGACCTTGCCAAGGCTCCAGAATGCTGGGATGTGGGGATCCTGGCCATCATGGGGGTGGAAGGGGCACAGGTTGGATTCAGGCAGAGCTGGGTTTGAATTCTAGCACCTCCTTCTCCTAGCTGCGTGATCTTGAGCAATTTGATTAAACTCTGTGTCTCTCTTTCCTTGTGGTGAAATGGAGGTAACATGGATGGTCTGCTTGCTCTTCTGTCCCTCCTCCTGAATCTGCCATGGCTCCTTGGCACCCATAGACCATAATCCTGCTTCTTGGCTGAGAGCTGAGGTCTTCCCCTGATCCACCCTGCTTTCCAGCCTCTTCTTCCATCCCATCTTTCCACTCCTCTAGGCACTTGCACATCACACCTCTACTGTCCCCAACATGCCACCAAAATGACACACCAGGCAGTGTGCTTTAGCTCCCCACCCCTCCCTCTCATGTCAGAGGAAGCCCTACCTGTCCTTCAGGGCTCAGCTCAAATGCTGCCTCCTCCAGGCTGCCTGCCCCAATTCCCAGCATTGGCATGTGATAGATGCTCAAAAAATATTTGCAAGAATCAGTGAGAACTGGTCCTCCCTCCTGTCCCCACCATCACTGTCGAAACACATCGTGCTATTCCAAGTTCAAATCTCCCATGTCTTCTCCACAAACTGTGCGTGCAAAGGCTCCCACACCCGGAATGGATGAAGCAGAGTCCAAATTCCCGGTCCTCTTTCAGAGACAAGTCAGGACCAGTCAGAGCCCCTTCTCAGGATAATACTACAATGACAAAGCTAAACGTGGATTGCTCCAAGTACCTGGAGAAGCTGCCAGGCCCCTATTTTCAAGCACTTTTCAGCACATAGCCAATTTTCCAGATCAAACTTCACAGATCTCCAAACGTCAAACAGTTAACAGAACTTTTAAACACAACCCAGGTCTGCTCCAGCACAAATGGAGCCTCCACAAAATCCCAGGTTTCCTTTGGAACCCACAGGCCCTGGCCCCCTGTATTTCGCATGCAGGGGTGCTGGCCCCCAAATAAGAAAAAGTGTGAAACTGTCTAGCCCTGTGCACCCCCCAAACACACCTGGGCTGCAGCCACCTGCAGCTATCTGTGTCTCCTAGCTGTTCCCAGACCTCAGGCCTGGCTGCCAGCCCCCACCTCCAAGGCTAGGCTCAGCCACCACCTGCATGGGATCCTCCCTTACACATCCATCGCGCCCAGAAGCCGAGCAGCACCCTAACAGCTCAGGTAAGGGAGCAAACCCACTGCACCCAGCACCCGTGAAGGAGGCCTGGGGCATCCGCACCTAGCACTGATTTCAGGCTAAAGCAAAAGCCACAGAGGGGTCTTGGGTACAGGAGTGATGATCTGAAGATAACAGAGAGCAAGTCGAGACAACGTGCAAGTTCCATGGCTTAAGGTCTCTCCTGCTCCTTCCCCAGCATTAGAGTTCTCAGGAATCTGTCCTGCATGGGGAGGGGATGGGGGTGGGGGTTGGGTGGGGAGGGTCCCCCCAGAACTCCCCCAGGATACCCACACTTCAGCCACAAGGATCCTAACCCCAACACACACAGACACCATCACCATTGTCTGCTCCTATGTCTCCTATCTGCCCCCGGAGGGCGGTCTCTGGTCCCACTCTGTGTCCCCTGCCCCTTAATGTCCCGCACAAGGTCTGCATCAACCAGCCCATAGAGGGTCGCAGATGGGAATGCCCGAAGCAGGGCTGCGCGAAGCATCCCGTGGCCCCAGTGCCCTCTGCCGCGCGGACTCCTCACGGATACTCACCGGGGTCGGGGCGTTCACCACGGACAGGTTGTACCCATAGAGGAAGGAGGAGCCCAAGGCGCCCACCAGAGAGACAGCGACGAGGGAGCAGGACCAGTCCTGTGAAGGGAGAGGAGAGCACATCAGCGCGGGCCCTTGGGTGCAGAGCCTGGACGGTCCCCCTTAGCTGGGGGAGGCCTCCCTGATAGAATTCCTTGTCTGGGGCCAAAAAGGAGCTGGAAGGAGAAGATGGAAAGGTGGGGGTGGGGGGCAGCAGACAGGGTTCCCTCCAGGTCCACAACACACCATTGTCTTCCCAGCCAGGCTGCCGGGGAGCACAGAAGCCCGCCTGCTGCCCTTAGCAAGCCATCTGGAAGCAGCCACACGCATCATTTTAGCTACAGGTATCTAGGGTCTGACCCAGACAGGAGCGGAGAGCAAAGCTAGACTAAGCTGCTGGGCAGCGCCCGGTGCTCACTGATCCCCCTGCCAGGCACTGTTCTGAGAGCTTTCTGGGCGTCATCTGGAATCCCTCCACCAGTGCCGGTGCATCCTATTGCAGAAGTCAGGAAAGGGCACAGAGTTGTCTGAGGTGCTGCCTGGGGCGGGGCCAGGAACCTGGTGGTCAGAGCTGCAGCTCCTCCCCAATCCCCCAACTCCACCTGCCTGCGTGTCTGGAACACAGGCATGCCCATGCACACACGCTCACGCTGAGGCATGGATCGACAGCCTGGTCCAAGCACCTTGGAATAAGGACCTGAAGACAGAGAGCTAGAGCTTGGTGCTGAGAATAAGGCATCTGCCCCCACAGGGGCCTTTCCTGCTGCTCCACCCAAGGATGGCCACAGCCAGGACAGAAACATCCGGCCCCTTGACAAAGACTGACCATCCCGGGCTGCCCTGTGAAACATGGGCCAGATGGACAGGGACCAGGCACTCTGGAAGACAATTTCTTGGCCATCATTTACCATTGAGCGTGCATGTCTGTGTGTTTTCTAGGTGCTAGGCCCTGATGAAGCTCTGGGAGCGTTCGCAGCAGTGAGCAGGACAAGCGAACAGGGATGCAGATCCCTGATCCCAATTCCCTTCTCCACCACCTCGTTAACCTCCCTAGGGGGGCTCCAGCAGCCGACGATGCTCCACCATGCAGTGGCAGAAGCCTGAGCAAGCGGTGTGACTTTTCAGAGTCCAGCTTGCCCGCCTGTAAAAGGGCTCTTACTAACATGCCACACTGCTGCCCAGGTCACTGAGGGTCAGTGGTTGCCAGATGTCACCAGTGTTCAGAAAGGTGTTTTCTTCTTTTGTTCCTCTCTCTCCACTCCCTCTGGTCCAGCTGCTTCCCAAACAGACAGGCAGAGTTCTCTCTACTTGGTCCACCTGAAGTGCTCCTCCTGGAAGCTTCAGACCTGAGACCCACAGCCAGCCTCTCCTCTCCTGCCATCTCCTGGAAGCTCCTCCTCCTTGTTCTACTACAGATCTGTCATTCAACTGCCACTTATGACTGTAGTCTTTGGCTTGTTGCAGGGCTGCTCAGTCTCCTCATCTTGAAGAAGACAATGATATTGGAACCCCCTTTTTAGGGAAGGTGTTAAGTGGGTCAGAAGAGAGCCTGGCACTTGCTGGGTGCCCATGAGTGTCAGTGGCCAGGGCTGGATGGTGGCAGGGGTCTTCCTGTGGGAGGGCAGCTGCTGTGCTCCCTGCTCTTTGCTCTGGGCTCTGAGCCTGCTGCAGAAGAGGTGCTCAGCAGGTGCTAGGGACCAGGTGGAGGCTGAGGAAGGGCTTGTGGCCAAGGGGATGGTGTTGCCCAGTGAAATGGGGCCGGCATGGTTTTCTGCAGCTTGAGCTGAATGAGATCCATTGATGGGACAGAGTCCCTTCAGAAAAAGCTCTCCGTCTCCTTCACCTCTTCCCTCTAAGTTCATTCTCTGTGTCTCGTCCTAGGGGCCAGTTCCCTGAGCCGTCAGCACCAGCTGTGCTGGGCTATTATCTGGGCCCTACACTCCCTCCATCCTAGTCCTGGTCACCTTAGAGGACCTGGTCTCCTCCCTCTTGTCGGCACCCATCAGAATGGGAGCTCCTGGTATGAGGGCCCCTGCAGAGGTGGAGGAGGGCACATGGGAGCCACCTCCCTGCCTCAGCTGCTTCTCTGGAGCCCCCTGCCCCTGGGTGGCCTGCCCAGCCTGCTGCCTCCCCCTCCTGGCACCTGACAGCTCATGCTGCTGCCTGGCCATGCCTGGGGAGGTAGAAGGGGCAGTGGAGCACACACAGGGCAGGGCCTCACGAGGACGTTCTCTGGGTACAGCCAGGCAGCCAGGAGCCGGCCCAGGATGCAGAGACTCGGAGTAAAACACCACACAAGGTCACATGGGTCAGAGTGGCTGGTCCAAGCCCAGGCCTCCCTAACTCAGAGCCCAAGGCCCTTTAGCCACACAGCTGCCAGGCCGGGGTGGAGACGTGTCCCGCAGAGCCACCTACACCTGCATTCCCCACAGCCTGCCCTTGTGCACCGCGGCCAGAGGCCGGAGGCCGGTTCCGTGTTTACCTTTCTTCTCCTCCCACCTGGCACCCTGCTCTTCCTCATCTGGTGGTGACACTCTGGCGGCTTCCTGCCTGATCCGGGAGGGCCAAGGTAGCTCCTGTCGTGTGTCAGGGGAGCAGAGCTCAGTTCCCTGGGATCCATGCTTGGTTTCCTTACTATGGGCCCTGGTGGCCCAGCTGACGGCTCCGCCAGGCCCCCGGACTCTGCCAGGGCATTTCCGTGAATGAGGAGGCAGAGTCCACTGGAAGGCCTGGAGCGCCCAACAGGAAATGGGGCAATTGGGTCATGCCTGGACAGGAAGTGGGCAACATATTCTTCCTTGTTCTAAGTCATTACAGCAACGAGAAAATCCTAAAAAGGAAATCTGTCCTCTGGGGACTTTCACCCAGGGTATGGATTTTTTTCTTTGTCATCATTTTATTCCTCTCTCTTTAGTAAGTCCAACATTCCAGAGGTGGGGAGACTGGCATGAACCCAGGGCACCTTTCTAATCTCTGGGGCAGGGAGCGGTCTAATAACTGGCTCAAGTGTTGCTCAGGTCCTGACTCCTCCACTTCAGGCGAGTCACGTTACTTCTCCGAGCTGCCATTACCAGTGCAAGACGGGCTATTGGTCTCACTCCAGCTGCCTGCAGAGGTACTCCAGGGCTGAAACAGAAACCACATGGCCCACCCTACCCCTAGCAGCATGCTGGAGATGGACGTGGGCAGCCCTGCAGCCCAAGAACAAAGAGCTGCCATGACTCTGTCCTGCTTCCTCAGCCCCAGGCCGAGCGGCCCCTCCTTGCACCACCCTGGCTGACTCAGTAAAAGGAGCCAGGAGGCTGGGACCTGGTGCCCAGCACGACATAGTGAGGATGAATTCCCCACATGGCTGATTCACCCCAAATGTCAGAGAAGGACCTTCATGATGGCGAGGACAGGTGGCCTCTACTCTTTGCTCCTGGAAGCAGATGGCAGACACAGAGGCTGGGAAGGGACAGAGGCATGCTTGGTGAATTCAGAGTGCTCGGGCCACAGATAAGGGGCAGAAGCCAGCAAACTGGGTTTAATGCAAAGGACACATTGAAGAAAAAAAAAGATGGGGAGAACTGCAGGCGTCCTGGGGGCCGTAAATGCGCGTGGGTGAGAAAGCTTTCAGCCCCCACCGCCCTACAGCAGGACAGCAGCTGCTCTGAGCAAATGGGAAACAGACTTCCTTGGTTAGGCTGGGACTCGAGCAGTGCAACCTGGCTGCTCTGTGCACTGGTCAGGGGGGCGCCTCTTCGAGAGCAGGTTATTTCTTGACTTGGTTTCCAGCCACCTGGCTGCCTTCCTCACTGCATGGCGGGTCCAGAGCAGGAGCCCAGTGAGAAGCACTGGGTTACCACACGCCTGCAAGGGCCGAGAATTCCCTGGGACAGTGCTGGGGAGGCACCGCGCCAATCTCAGCTGGATCCAGGAGTCTTTCTGGGAGAGGTGACTCCTGAGCACACTCGGGATGGGTGAGCCTGGGGAGGTATTTGAGTGGGGAAGGGCATGGGTGGAGGCTGCCGGCTTGGATGCCTGTTGTATGAGCAGCTCCATAGTTCCCGCTGCAGGTGCAAACTCCAACGGTGCCAGGAACCAGGCTGTCAACACAGTGGGCCCCAGAGCTGGGCGTCAAGCCTGAGGGAGGACATGGAGCCCCACTAGGAACCAGAGGCAGCAACCAGGGCTCCCCACAACCTGCACCTCCCCCTCGACCCGTGCACCTACACTTTTCTCCCAAGTGCGTTCACACCCTGTGGGCTGGGGGAGCTGCTAGTCCTGTGTAAGCAGGAAGAACTAAAGTCCAGAGAGGGCGTGGAGCTGCCAGCCTCCAAATCCCCAGCAGTGTCTGTCCCATGTGGCCTGTGGCCCTGTACTCTGCGGTAGATCCTACAGAAGCTCAACTCCTGGCACAGGTGTGGTTTGAAGCAGATCCCAGGTGTTCTAGGGGTGAGGCAGGTGTAGGACCCATGTTCCTCAGTGTTCTGGGTCTGGACTCAGCCTGCTCTGCACCGAGTGCTTCCTCACACACCATTTCCCAGCACTGGCTAAGTACCCACGCACCCAGCTACCCTGCCCCGGCTCAGGCCCTTCGGACTATTAACCGTTCTCACCCTTCAATGCTCAGCTCCCTCCCCACCTGCTCCAGGAGGCCTCCCTGGACCTCCCTCTGCCACTTCTCTGGGCCATGTGCTGCCACTTGAGTATGCCTTCCCCTCTGGACAGGAGCTCTCCAGGGACTGTGTGTATCGCACAGGTTGGACCGTGAGTCCCCCCCAAATTCACATGTTGAAGTCCTGATCTCTGAAACTGTATCCCAGAATGTGACCGTATTTGGAGACAGGGTCTTTAAAGAGGTAGTAAGTCAAAATGAAGTCTTTTGATGGCCCTAATCCAATCTGACTGGTGTCCATATAAGAAGAGATTAGGATACACACAAACACACACAGGGGGACCATGTGAGGACATAGGAGAAGACACTATCTACAAGGCAGGGAGAGAGGCTGCAGAAGGAATCAATCCGTCAACACCTTGGTCTTGGACTTCCAGCCTTGAGAGTGGTGAGACCATAGGTTCTACTGTTGAAGCCAGCCTGTCTCAGGGGCTTTCCACGACAGTCTGAGCAAACGCACATCGGCCTCAGCCTCTGGTCCCTAGATACACATTTGCTATTGAGCTCAAATCATCTAGAGGGCAGTTCTAAGGCTAGAAGTTTGACTTAGAAATAACTTCTGAGGCTAGAAGCTTGGCGTAGAGATGGCGACAGTTCTCTAGCAGGGAAGTGTTGAGGGAAAGAGGAGCTTTTTATTGAGTGTCATTTAACCAGAATGCATGAAATGACTATCTCCCTTCCCCATTCCACCAAACATCTAGGCACTGGATGCTCGGCTCACCTAAGATAAGCACCAAAAGATACAGTGTCCACTTAGAGGGAATCACATCTACTTAACACAATTCTCCCATGTCCTTGGGTGACCCAAGGCAGGTGGTGTCATTACACACTGTATGGGACCCATAATGTCCAGTCTGCCAATTCCACACTAGCCTGGCCATTTGGCAAGTAGACTTGTGTTGATCTCTGTCCTGCCAAATAGAGGCTTATTATGAATATGGGCATCTTTTCTTGCAATTTGTGGTTACATCCACACCCTTGGGAGGCGACAAGGCACAGATGGGTTGAAGTTTGAGACTGGCTCCATCTGAGAGAGCAGGGAATGGGTTCCATGTCTCTCATAAGGACAATGACATATCACTGTCAGCATCAATGTTCCCTCATTGAGAAATGACCTTAAGAATGCCCCAAGTCCAGAAAGCCACCAGCAGATCAGTACCATGGAGGCTCCCGACTTTCGAGCCTGGCTACAGACTCGCTCTTGTTCCCCCAGCTCCACCCACGGGGCTCTGCTCCCAGCCCCTGCTAGATCCTCTCTCTGCTGGCCTCACCTTGACCCTGGAGGACGGAGGGCGAGGGGGACAGGAGGGACTGCCCAGGCCACCAGAATGCCCATGCAAGGGGAGGGCAAGAAGCCAGCACTGACCGCTTTCTTTCTTGTCGACTTGTTTTCCTTGCTCTCTGCTGCGTCCTTTTCTCTGAGCTCCATGGTTTATTCTTCAGATTTTGGACTTGTTGATGTTGTTGTTGCTGAGAAAGAGGAAAAGGGATGGAGCCATTAGACACTTGCTGCCACAGATGGCAGGTCACAGCAGGTGGTTCCAAATGGCCTCCAAAAGGTTCCTTCCAGTGTAAAGGACGCCAGTGTAAGACACTGCAGTGTCCTCACTCAGGCCCTGGGACCTGGCACCTGCCTGCTCTGGCCCATTTACAAGATGGGGGCTGGGCTGAGCTGTGGTGCATCCGGCTCCTGCCCTAGGGCTTACTAGACCCAGGCTGCTCCCACACCATTCTCTTCAGAAGGAGCACATTTCAGAAATGCTAGACTGTCTGTCTCCAAGAGGTGAAAATGAAATCAGTGGAAATGAAAACCCAGTGCTGATCTCGCAGCCTGTCAAGTGGAAAAGATCACCAACATCCTCACCCTGATCGCTGCTGAGACGGAAGTAGAAACTGCACGGCTTTTCTGGAGTTTGGAAATGTGTTTCTATTGCCCTTTGGCCCAATAACTTTGTTCGACAAGATTTATCCTAAAGCAGGACTAAAAGTGTGCACAAAGATGGAAGTCCAAAATATTCAGTGCAGCATGTGTGTGTGTGTGTGTGTGTGTGATAAAAATGGTATTTAAAAAAAGAAAAATAAAAAATGTCTAGCAGAAAAGTTTAACTACATGATGGCACATTCACACGATGGAAATTCATGTAGTCCTTTAAAATTGTGTTCTACAAGAACATTGGATGCCACGGAGGGATGCTCAGAATACATTCTTGGTTGACAAATAAGGGAAGATATATAAATGAACCTACTTTTTTCAACACTAAAAATATACATACATAGGTTTACACAATGAAACATTAGATGTGCTTAAATTCTTCATGTTTCCTTACTTCATTTTAAAATGTAATAATTATGCATTACTTATTCGACAGATATTAAGTCCCTAGGGAAGGCTATGGGGATAATCCTGTCCTCTGGGAGCTGGTGTCAGGAGGAGAGAAACAGCAGAAGAGCATTCAGAGAGCGTGTTGACGTATGGAAGGTGAGTGGTGGCCCAGCATGGGGAGGGCAGGGGGAGGACAGTAGAGATACTCAGGGGACAGACACATATTTATGGGCATAGAAAATAGGTCAGAAACAGCCGGAAATGACCTGCAGTTACCCCTTGGCTGAGGTATTGTGGCCAATTTATATCTTATTGTTTTCTCCTAGTTTTCCACACATTGTGACTTTCCCCTGGAATTGTGCAGCATGGTGGCCCTAATAAAATACTGCTGTAACTAGATAAGTTTTTGAAATTGCCTTAAATTAAAAAGAAAAAAGTTTTCTTAATGGAATTAAGCCCTAACAGTCTCAAGTAGCCAAGTAGAGTTAAAATTTAAATAATAATAATCATCATCATCATCATCTCTGAATGCTCTTCTTTCTAATGCAGAAAATACAACCCTGGAAGGACACACCGTTCCTATGGTTCGATAGACTCAGCTTGAAGCCATTTCTGCAGCCTGACAAGGATGCAGGTTGGTGAGCTGCCTGAGCCCCACTTTAGTGTCGCTGCAGGCCCTGCCTCGAGGGGCTGACACACCTGTCCCACCCCAGCCCACCTGGAGGGCCACTCCAGCCCTGTGCCTGCTTTCCTGACATCTGCAGGCCTCTGGGCCACAGCTTAGGCTGCTGGGCTTGGAGGGCCCTTCCCTTTCGCCTGCCTCCCCTGCCAGGCTCGCCTCCTCCGATCATCTATGGGTTTCTTCTGGAAACGGAATGCTCTTCTTCAAGTGCATCCCAGAGCTCACAGCCAGTGGATTGCATGGGCTTAGGGTGTCTGAGATCTCATCGGGGATGGTCCCTACCTGTGAGGCTCATTTTACCCATGAGCTTGCCTAGGCCATGCTGCTGTCATTTAGCAGATGTCTAGAGAACAGTCTAGATGTGTCGTGAAGGTGCCTTTTAGATAGGGTTAGCACATGCAGTGAGCTGTAAAGCAGATGACCCTCCATGATGTGGAAGGCCTCATCCACTAAGCTAAAGACCTCTAGAGAAGCAGCTGACGTCCCTTATGAAAAAGGAATTCAGCCTCAAACTGAATTTTGAGAGAGGTCTTTTGGAATAAGAGTACAACCTCAGCATTGCTGGAATTTCTAGTCTGCTGGCTCGCCTGTGGCTTTGGGGCTTGTCAGCCCTACCATTGCTTGAGCCTATTCCAGGGGAAACAGGGGACAGAGACACAGACAAGAGGACATGCATACCCATTGCTTCTGCTTCCTCGCAGAACCCTGAGTTACCCCCTCCCCTACTTCTCACACTTGAGGGCTTCAGTGATCCATCTCCCGTCCACAGTCGGACTGAATGCTGGCTGAAGAGATGCACGGTAGGCAGAAGAGGTGGGGTGGGGAGGAGGAGAGGGAAAGAAGGAGAAAATGGGCAGAGGGAGCTAAGTGATGGTTTCTGTGGCTACCACCCTGCCTGCCTCCTGGGGATTTTTCCCAGTCTAGTTCATGTGAATGGCTGCCACGGTGCCACCCCAGGGACCACCATTCACACAGATGACATTGTGACTTTCCCCTGGAATTGTGCAACATGGTGGCCCTACATGTGCCTAAGGATTAAGATGGTCTCTTGGGGATGAAGCGGAAGCCAGGATTTGAAAAGACATGAGGAGAGGGAAAAGAGCGAGGCCATTACAGAGACCTGGATCTCCATCTGGCTTTGCTACTATGACCGAGGGCAAGTTACTAACTCACGAGTCTGCTTCCTTGTCCGTCAGTCATAGACAGCTGCCACTCTCTTAGTGTGATTTTTAGATGAGGAATCCTGAACTCAGGTGGCCCTGGGAAGGGCCTGCCAAATCCTTGGTGTCTAATGAATGGCAATTGCCATTCAAGAGGCTATTGAAGACTCAGAAAGTGACATATTTGTGGGTAGGAGGAAAGAAGGGTTGTTTAGAAGTACTGATCTTCAGTTTGTGGAACATCTACGTATCAATGTCACCTGGGAACTTGGAAATAAGAGTAGTGCTCAAGCAATAGTCTGGGCTGGACATGAGTTAAGTGGGAATGAGTGACAGAGGACTGGGCAAGGCCACCCAGGGAAGGAGTGTAGAAAGAGGAGATCCCTAAGGAACCCAGCCTGGGGGGGGAGACAAGGAACGGTAAGTGACAAAGGACACTGAGTTGGAAAAAACAAGCAGAGCCAAGTGTGGAGAAGACAAGAACTTTAAGAGGATGTGAGGGGTCATCTGTGTCGACATTGATTGAGGGCAATCAAGAAAGAGGAATGAAAAGTGTCCAGGGTATTTGATCACACAGAGGCCACTGGTAACTGTTTCAAGGGTGACTTGGATGGAGTGGCCCTGGAGGGACGGAGCACTGGAAGAGGAGCCCGTATGCAGACAGGTCTTCATAGAGCTTCAGCCATGAGGAGGTGAGGGCGGTGCAGGGGGAGGCATGGGGGGGCAAGGACGGAACATGGGTAAGTGTGGTGAAGACTTCAGATCCAGAAGTGGGAAAACAGGAGCTCTGTGCAAATTTCCTGTATTCTAGCATCTTCTGTATCCTGTCTAACACCATCTATAGTCCAATGGCGTCCACATGAAGTGTGAGGTAAAGTGACCGACTAAAGGGGAGAGAGGAGGGCGATCGGGCAGTGGTAGGAAGGTGAGGAGCAGTCATAAGGGAATCCAGGGGACAGCCCTAACACCCAGGTCCGGTTGGCCATGGGCTGGTGCTGAGGGACCCCTCGTGGCTCCACAGTGGAAGAAAACATGGTGGGTGTCCAGAGCGTCCCCAGACTTCTTGAGTTTACCCATGGAGAGAAAACACAACTCCAGCTGTGACCAGGGTGTGGCTTTGGTTGGGCTCCACCACAACCATCCAACATGGAGCCACCTAGAAATCAAGGTCAGAGCAGGTGTGGTCACAGGTGTGCGAGGAAGGAATGAGTACAGGGAGGGGCGGGGTGGGGGGGAGAAGCTACGGAGTGGGCGGTAGTAAATTACGGTGTGTAAAATATTGCCCTGTGACAAACAAGGATCCAGAACGTGGGCCTGGGGTGCACGGGACTGTGAGCTCAGCAGTCCCCACGCAGTCAAGGGAGATGAGGAGCGCTCCAGCTCGGGTGCCGAGCCTGTCATTCTTCCCAGGAAACACGCTGCAAACTGGGACGGTGGGGCACCAGGAGGACGTGGGTGGGGCCCATGCTTCTTTCTCTTTCAGGATCAACTCTGATCTTCTCCTCACCCACCACCAGTAAGGAAGAAGAAGAGGACTGCTAAGTCAACAAGGCCCCACGCCAGGGAGCTGCTCCCAGCACAGCCCTCGACTGTGGACTCATCCTGCCGAGACCACGGCAGGGTCCAGGATGCCCGTCATCCCTAAGCCCTCTCATGACTGGCGTGAGACTGTCTTCTGGGGCACTTCGAGGCCTCATGCGGGCAGCGTGTGCCCAATGGGACTCTGGGTTCACACCCCAGTTCTACTGCTAGTAAACCGACTGGAGACCCTGAACTCTTCTGCACTCCCTTTCTTCCTATTTCAAATGGGGATAATAACAGGATGAACCCCAGGGGCTGTTGTGAGGGTGAAGTGAGTTCATTATTGAAGCACACTGCAGATGTCAGGTGCCCTGGAGCCATCGTGATCACCTCCGGAAGCACAGTGGATGGTCTTCCCAGACCACAGGTGCAGCGCTTCCGGATTGACTCAATGATGACATCTCAGGATGGTTAAGATGGCTTACCCATCTGAGCCCACGCAGTGTTTAAATAGAGAACCCTAAGCTCCCTCAAAATAATTATCTAAGGCTTAAACAGAGTAAATAAAATAAAATACAAAAGATAAATCAGCAAGAGCTCCGTGCATGGTGAAGAGTCCCAAAATGTCAGCTCCCTGTCTCCCCAACCCGCAGAAACGACACTGATAACTCTGCTCTTCAAGACTAGTGGCCTGCCAGTGCCCATCAGTGTGGCCATACAAGTTCTTTAGAGCAAAGTGCTGCTGTGCCCATGGTTGAATGGCCCCCTGCCCCGTCCCCTGAGT